ATTTTCCCAGCCTTGGTGAAACCATCGGACCTTTATTGTGATAATTCTGGTGCCATCGCACAAGCCAAGGAGCCGAGGAATCACCACAAGGTCAGACACATAGATCGGAAATATCACCTCATACGAAAGATCGTAAAGAATGGTGATGTAGAGTTATGCAAGATTCACACAGATGCAAATGTTGCAGATCCGTTGACTAAGCCGCTTCCACAACCCAAGCATGAGGGGCACGTTAGAGCTATGGGCATTCGATGTCTATTTGATTGACTCTAGTGCAAGTGGGAGACTGTTGGAGATATGCCCTAGAGGCAATCATGTATGATAATATTTCCTATGTGTTTATGAATAAAGATAGTCTTTGGACATTATCAATGATGTGTATCAGCAAGTACGTGACTTGTTTGTGGGACTATGCATTGTATGATGACTGTCCTAAAAGGTCCCTAGTCGAAAGGACTGTGTGGACACACAGCCGACTAGACTAGCATATGACACGGTCGATGGCTTGGTCTCACTAGCCATGAAGCATTGGATGCTAACCGGATAATATGGACTCGGAAGGATCTGGTCGGATTCGACGCAGTCGGATCCGAGTCGAGAAAAGGTTCGAGTCGGATAGACCCAACTATGAGACGCAACGAAATGTCATCTGTGAGTCTCTAATACAACATACGTTCTATGTCCTAAGACCTGAGCTGGCTCATGTACTCGGGATAGTGACAGACCTGCTTTGGGCCGACCAAACGCTACTCCGTAATTGGGTAGTTACAAAGGTAGGTTTCAAGATTGTCCAGACCCATGCTGCGAGACATGGTCGAGCAAGATGGGATTTGCCCCTCCGATCAGGAGAGATATACTCTGGGCCACTCGTGTGATCCAACCAAGAGAAGCATGGCCATGTAACAAGGATTATGAGATAATCCGGATAGTGGTCGGCATCACTGGAACGAGAAAGAGGTCGGGCTACCACATGGATGACAGACTCGCCTTGAGCCCGACAACATATATCGTGTGGCAAAGGAAACAGAAGTATGATGTATAGGTTTGCCTAACCAGCTTCATAGTTTGTTTGGTGTTCGGCATGCCTTGCTAGAGGCCTCTACCAACCGTGCAGTTCGGAGGTGATCCGAATTGCGACCAAGCTGGCTTGAACCTAAGGGGTCGCGCGCTTAAGGGAAGGAACCTACGAGGTCGGATCCGAGGACACTGGTCGGATGTGATCTGAGCTGTATTCGGATTGTGGCCGAGTAGACTTGTGGGCTTTAGGGTCCGTGCGAGGCCCAAGTGTTGAGCCCGTGACGGACGCCTATATAAAGTGGAGGTGCGGCACACTCATTTGGTTGATCGCTTCGGCGCTGTCGCTAGGGTTTTCATGTGTTGCGAATAGACACCTCCACTCGCCGCCGACTGTGTGATCGGACCTAGTAGTCCGCCGCACGGTGTTCCTCCTGCATGCGCGGATACCATTAGAGGCGGTGCACTTGCGCCGCTTCGGCGAACTTGTTCGAGGGAGATCGAACGAGGAGGAGACGAATCACGCGGACGCGCCGCCCCAACTCTTCTTCCGCTGCACGACACTGCGTGTCTAGTGGTAACGATTTGTGATCCATTCCCGTAGCATGTTCCTGGTTGTTCTGCGCATAGGAAAATTTCAATTTGCAGTCGACGCACCCTACCGTAGAACCCAACAGGGTGTGGCCTCACGACGAGCCCTTCGTCGGCGCCGGTCCGGCCCAGCGACCTTGGACCTCCATCGGTGCATCCTCCAACGTCCATGGTTTGCCGACGTCTCTACCTGCGCAGCTCCAGTCCCAACGATTCGTAGCTACATCCTTTCTAGCTTCATCGCCTCGCCAGCATCCTGGCCGCTCTAGCCCCGACGGCTCGGAGTTGTGTCCTCTCTAGATCCTTGGTCGTCGGTATCACCGGTCGCCGACGCTTCCCCTGCGCCGGCTCTTTATGACTTTTTTTTGCGAGAAACTCTATGACTTGCCTCCTCCCCGACGATGTCCTCCTACATGCCTTGCCTTGCGCCAGATCCAATGCTCGTGTGTATGGCGGCGCCCGGTACCACCTTCCAGCAGCAGATGTAGTCCCACCCTCTCCTGCGGTGGCGGTTCTGACCAACAATATTACTTCCTCTTCGTCGGTCGCGTTTCGGCGACTATCGGATTACTCATACTTAGGCCACCGGAAAATCGCTGCTTGGATTTGCCGATGCTTGTAGCGGCGACTCTCGCGGGTGTCATTTCCCTTTTTGATGGCGCTGTCATGGTCTTTATTTTGGCCCCTCTTTAAACTTAGGAGAAACCCTAGGCCCGGTTCTTCGGATCAGATGACGACAATGTCACATCATCATTCTCCTACATGAGGCGTCATCTTGCTCGCTCGCGTCGTTCCCGTGGATGACCCTGGTGATGTTGAGCGTGTTGTTGGTTTAGGTTGCCCCTCTTGTTTGGGGGCTTAGAGGGTTTAGCTTTGTTGTATCATTTGTTTGGGCGAAACATCCATTTTCTCTTTGCTTCGGGCATCATGTCCTTTTGCATTGGTGTTCGTGTCAAGCGTTGTATCCTCCGTACTCTTTTTTTCTTCTATCAGTAATGAAAAGACACGCTTTTTGTGTATACATGAAAAAAGCAACCAAATGGGTGGCTTTAGCTTGCATATAGATACACATATCTAATACTCCTATTTAGATGAGTAGGGCGTTTTGGTGACCGAGCTCCATGGAGCCCTTTATTTTTGAAAAATTCAAAATTCATATTTTTCGACTTCAAAAAATTCTGAAAAAGAATATGCAACTATACAAGGATGAAATGTATGTGCGTGTAAAAATTCAAGATGAAATACTTTGAAATGCGACCTATACAAAGAAGACAAATTTCTGGACTTTGAGGATGAATAGTATCATGTGTTAAAAAGCCTCAGATTTGTCTTTTTTGCACAGCCTTCATTTCGACGTATTTTGTCCTAAAAATTTACACACATGTGTGTTATGCCTCCATGTATATCTGTATTTATTTTCAGATTTTTTTGAATTGTAAAAAATATGAATTTTCATGAATTTTGTGTTTTTTAAAAAAAACTGGCCTCCATGGAGGCCGAGCTCCAAAAGGCATTTTCGTATTTAAATGGCAAATAATCATTGGTTGTACTAGGAATAGTTTGCATTTGTACAATAAAAGTATAATCAACGACCACGAAATACAATATCCATAGAATCCAGTCCACAGCCATGATTGACCCCTCCACGGCTCTGGCACGCCTCACGCCCATCGCGCATGCCAAGTGCCCAAGTCCCAAAGCCCCGCCCGGACGGACGGACGTATCTCTCCCGCACCCGCAGGCCTTCACTGACTCCTCCTCCCACCGCTGCCACACGCACCCATGCAAACCCACACGTACCCCCGCTGCCAACAGAAGTCCGTTTCACAGGCGCCGTGGCTTCCAGCACGCACGCTAGCTTTCTGGGAAGCGCCCCCATCGAGATCTGCCCGTCCGCCCCCGGCCCACATCACGCCAGCAGTCAGCAGAGTACCCGATGCCCCCACTAGGGAGGAAAAACAACGCACTCCTACTCCAGTGACCAGCAGAGCCATTTGGTGCGAGCGAGATAACTACGCGCGGCTCCCCGGTCTCTCTCGCTGTCCACCTCCGACCCCCTCCCCTCCTCCGCCCATTCCCCTTGTTCTCGTGATCGCCTCCGGCCCCGAGGTCCGGCGAGAGGGACGCGCCGCGCAGGTGATTATTTCTTTCCTCCTTGTTCTGCACTACCTAAAGCGACGCGGCCGCGGCTCCTATACATATGTGTGCCTGCTCCGCTCCTGCTGATAGCTATCCTCTGCTTCGCTTTTGCCGGTCGCGGGCGTTCAGCTCGCGGGAGGTTCTTGCTGCGGAGCTCGTCCATTTGCGAGCAGATCGGGCGAGAAGCTCGCCGCCGGCGTGAGGGGCCGTCTTCCGCGTCCGTCCGTTGGTTGGGGTGGAGACAGTGACACAAGTGGGCTGGCTGCTTCGCCGCTGTTGCTTGTAGGTGGCGGTAGCCTCTGGAACACTCCCGCTGCAACAGGTGAGAAGAATATTTATTTTTTCTCTGCTCTCCTTTATCTTTTTCCTGGCTTGGTCCGTGATGTCATGATCTTGAATGCAAGCGCGTAGTACTAGTCTTTTTGCGGTTCCATATCCTGGCGGTCTTTATAACAATCTAGAAGGGGTTCGTGTCACAAATTATTTCTTCTCCACAGAAACTCGTAGTATTAAGAGAAAATTAAATCCTGAAATATGAGCCGGAATACTTAATATTATTACTGCGCACTGTACTTGATAATATATCGTGATCGTATACACGTTTTTCAGTTTCTGAAAACTAGTCTCTGACTCATGTCGAGCTGTGGGGGTAGGATAGACGGTCAATACACATTTTTCCCACACGTCGTTTTCGCCTCGCACGCCAATTGTTGAACCGAGAGATACGCACATGGACATGGACATGGTTACATCGCTTTCGCGAACGCGAGCTCGTCTCCAGATCGCTGGGGGTGGTCCTACAACAAGAAGAAAGAGTTGTTTGGAGTCTGGACTGCTGGAGCCATGTGCATATGGACATGTGGTTCATATGACCCTGCACCGGTGTCTAGGAGACAAGCTCTGTGCTCATCGATGCACCCCGTCCACTAGTTTTTCATTTCCTTTTTAGAACCAAAAACACCCTAGTGGCATTTTATTAGGAAGCATAGTACACTCTCTGTTTCATTAATACAAGACGTTTTGGCAGTTTATTAATTTAAACTGCCAAAACGCCTTATATTAATTTGAACTGCCAAAACGTCTTATATTAATGACCAGAGGGTGTACTAGTTTCTACTTTGTCAACTTAAATTAGTTAAATTCAAGGGTTTATATCTATCATTTCTCTGAACTTGTTTGCCTTCTTTTTTTAAAGGCAGGCCCAACAGTTTATATATTTGGAAATACTACAAGTAGCCAAATCAGGCGTCGTCGGCATGCAGTCGTATTGGGCACCGCTCTTCCCTAACACTGCCGTGGAAAAGCAGGGGGTGCATTCCTTGTACAGCGATTATGCACATATATTTGACTTGTCATCGGAGAATACAAGCCTGGGCAGCTACATCGTTCCTAAAGTGGGGCACCTGGCTGTCTTGTTGAAACGTTCTGCCCTCCTTACTGGAAGCGCATTTTTTACCATTGCCATCCGCTACAGAGCTCTGCTGGACAGATGGATACTGCAAAAATGCGCCGTCTCCCATTCCCAGGTTAGTAGCTCAACATTGACCAAGAGCTTCTTTATTCAAATGCATCAAGACTTCTTTACTGTTCTATTAGTACCTCACCACTCCATTTAAAAAAAGAAGAAGGGGAAAAGACCCCGGTCTCTTCATCGACTGATCTATTTTTGCAAAGTTTCAAGATCCAAACATTTGTTTACTTTCCTTCAAATGAGCATTACATATGTATTTTGTCCATCCCACCTAAATCAGATTTCCGGCTCCTCAATGTGGCAGGGTGCACCTGTTCAGTCCACCATGATGTTGCGATCCTGTTGGCAGTGTAGATCCCTGCCTTTGTTTGTTGGCATTGGTGTTCTAATGACAAGGCTCTGTAGTTACATTACCATTCAGAGTCATAACAATAATCGGCAAGTCATCCGCGGCATTGAAGCTAACCTTCAGGGTGATTCGATCATTGAGAGTAACAAGTTGTGCAATCAGCAATCCGTCCTTCCAAGTTTGCTTGGCAGCAAGCATGATTATGTCCGTTTGCTGCTTCATTTTATTTGTAGCACCGCCATTTTTAAGGCGTATACGGCGCCAAAGGTGACCAGCCTCAAGGAGAGGAGCACACGAAAGAATTATGATTTCAGCGCGCTTCGGAGCATCGTGGCAAGAAATGGACATTATCTGACTTTTATTGGAGCGCTGGTGACTCTGCAGATATTTCTGCAGATGAACAGAGTGAACACTACCACTTCACTGTTACCAATGCTGATTCAGACAACAAGTTCCAGGAGCAAAGCTGCGGTTTTCAGCAAGATGGTGATAATATTGGTGAACTCATGCAGCATTCTTGGATCCGCTTTCACGACAAAACATCACGGTCGCGCGGCAACGTTAACCGTCAGCATTGTTCTAATGGTATTTTGCCAGGTAACTAATTAACTAACTCTTATGGTCCAGTTAATAATATGTCTCCGTTGCAAACTGCTGACATGAACGATTACTCTCAATTTTTTGTTGCAAGATGGCGATTCCATTGATCGTCGAGTTCCACATCGGGTTTGGCGGCGCAAGCCGAATGCCGAGAGGGTACACCGCTGCCATGTTCTTGCTCACCTGCGTCGTCTCCTGCGGCCTCAGTTGGTCATGGGGTTCCATGTTCTGGACCTTTCCCGGCAAGAAGAAGGTCCACTCAGCTGGTCATCTCTTGGGCATGGCTCTGAATTTGGCCCTCTGCTACGCCCAGATGCAGTACTTCCTGATGATGCTGTGGCGGCTGAAGAACGCCATCCTTGCCTACTATGCCATGTGGATTTGGTCGTGATTAAATTAATTAGGTTCTGCACATAAACCACGGCTAGACGATAGCGCCGTGGAGTAGTTCAGTGGATCTGAATCTCATGCTACCCCTTTTCTTGGACATATTTTTGTATAGCTTTTGTTTGTAAGTACCTCTCCGAATAGTTCTCCTGTAAGCTTGCAGGGGTCGTATCTGTACTTCTGTAGTGGTAGGTCGCACTGTCTATATATGTAAATAGAAGCATAAGCGCGCTTCGCCGATCTTCGATGTGGCGATTTTCTCTTCTCCTGGTGGATTGCTATTTGCTAGTAGCTAGCTTTCGATTTTCTGTTAATTTTTGTGGGCGTATTCTTGTTGGGACAGGCACTACCATTTCCAAATTGTTATGACCCCACCTTGGTTGGGTCGAATGTAATAGGATCAGCAAGATCGAGAGGGAATGTGCCTCGCCGTCCGCTCCTCCTCGGACACGACGGCCCTCGAGCCCGAGGGACGGCCGCCACCGCTGTGAGGTAGTGGAGGATGCGGCCTCACGCCTTGGTGATCGCGGGTAGCTCGTCTTTGACGAACTGACACACGAAACTACATTTTTTGTTTGTGATGTTAGCCAGATAATGTTGAGCAAATTTGGTTTTTAATGGAAGTATGGAACACGGATTTGGCCCTGATTGAAATGTTGATTGATGCTAAGCACAGACATGTAATACCATGCTTTATAGAAAGCACTCATTTCATGACATTGGAGCTTACATGGTACCGCTCCATATTTGCGGTGCTGGACAACCTGGACGTTTGAGACCAGTTTGAGGCGTATATTCAGGCCAATTTTTTGTGACCGGTTAGTAACCGGACTAGCCGCCTGGGTGTTTTGGACCGGTTTGAGGCTCCCGGGCTGTAAATATCCTTACACCCGCATATTAGCAACAAAAAAAGTCTCATGACCACGAGCTACTCCTTGGAGTACACGACAGAGCAAGTGAGCGACCGCACGCGTCTCTTTTTTCTCAACGCAAAAAAATGTGTGACCTTTTCTTGTGGCTGCATGGCTAAATTGAAGCTTGACAGCCTCCGTCCATGAACCAACGCCAACGGAACGGACTGAAAAAGCCGCCCTAGTCTTATGACGTCTTCTAGCTCCCGTTTTTCTTTTCCGTTTCTCTTCAATTTGAAGCTTTATCTTCCAGAACACATCCCAATGCATGGGAGGAAAGTGCGGAAAGGATGTGAGCGGCCGCGTCATATGGATAGCAAAGCCAATCTCGTCGATCCCCGGCCCGGCCTGGCAGGCCGCCGGAAGGAGTCTGTCGACGCGTGCTTGAAAGCTTTCCTAACTGCAATGCAAGGCGACATCGATCGTTGACATCTCTTCTCTTGTTTCCCGGCCCAACTACCACTGCGTCCATGTCGCTTGTTTCTCGCTCTGTTCCAGAGTGGGCGGCGGAACGCGACGTCACTCGGTCACGGCTTGCTTGCAGACAATGGAGACCAGACCACCGAATTCCGAATCTCCTACTTCTCATCTTCTCCGCTCGACCGCTATAAATTTCCTTCCCAAATCATCCCCGTTCTCGCCATGCCAATCTCACCGACACTCGCCTCGCACCGGTTCAGTGGCCGTGCGAGCCCTCTGCCCACCGGATCTCGCAGCCCGCCGGGTGGAGCATCCACGTCGTGCAGGAGATCGAGCTGCTCGGGCCCATCGCCACACTCCCTTTCCTGGTGAGAAAACGATTTGGGTCCTGTGCTCATGTTTTCTTGGTTATCACTATAAGTGATATGAGTTTAAGACAGGAGTTGATAACAAGTACAACTATGGAGTAGTTTCCAGTAGGATGCAGTGATCCGATCAGGTTAATTGGACTATAGCACATTCCTGCAAAGGAATTTCTCATCTAAGCTCACCAACTGTTAGCATATACTGTATGTATGTGTCCGTGACTGCTAACTGAACAATTGCATAGAACATAACTGATCGCCTTTTGTTTGAGTTTCTCACTTACCTAGTACCATTTTCTGCTGCTGCAAAGCTATCTTAACCCTGCTAGTATCATGTTGCTATGTGTTTGAATCTAGTTCAACTGACATCGAAAATACTACTGTGTTTCTTTATCCCTGCAAACCGAACAAGGCAGAGAGATCAAGCTCCGGCACCAGACCTTCGACATGTGGCGGGGGTCGCTGCTGCTGCTTCTGCTCGCAGCTGCCGCGGCCACTGAACCGGCGTCCACGCTCATGGGCGCGTCGCATGAAGACAGGGGCCACGCGATGGTCCTGCCGGAGACAGGGCCCCCGGTGCAGCGGTGGGCAACGGGTGTTAGTTTTAATCCTTACTATTTATGCATCTGCATATGTATTTTGGCTTTGCACCTAGGTTAGAAGATGGTGATTGAGTAGTTTGCCTCGTGGATGCGGCCCGAGCAGGAGTTCTGTCTCACCAGAGGTGCAAAGGCGTGAGTGACATGAAATCAGGAAGGTTGGCGTGTGTGGTACTTCCAAGGTTGTAAGCATATTTGTTTTAACAAGAGGAAAACGTCATGTGTGCAAGGGACCAAGAAGGTTGCTCCATGCACATGGACGTCCAGGGCGTCCGAGAGGGGCAAGGGGAGACGGTTTGCCTCGAGGTAATTGGGGACCAAGTAGTCAACGGGTACCCGGGGAGACGCGTCGGACTTCACGTGAAGTGCCTCCACGTGTCGCGTGATGGGCACCTGCGGGAGCACACGTTTATATTTTTAGGTGCATTTTTTTTCCAGGGTTTTGAACTTTGCATGGTTTTTTCTAGGTTTTCTTGGGGAAAATACCGTTGTTTTTCTTTGGTGAAGCGCACTGTGTGAAATTTCACGCTGAAGCATAAATGTGCTTCCTAAAAAGTGAGGATGAAGCACAATTGTCGTTTTGCATGAAGCACATCTGTGCTTCCTTCAAAGTGAAAAAAAAGCATAGTTGTGCTTCACAGTAAAGCATAGTTATGCTTCCGCGTGAGTACAACTGTATTTCCCAGAAAGTGAAAAGGCACAAAATGTGCTTCCATTTTTTTGGTTTCCACTTTGTTTTTTTGTTGTTGTTTCTTCAGCTTTCGATTTCCTTGTTTTTAATGGCTTTTCCGGTTTCTTTTTAATTACTGATTTTTTTTTGGTTTCACGGTTTTTCTGAGAAAAAAAGTTCGTCCAAATCTATTACATGGAACTTAGTTTCGAAGATTTTGACGCATGTAACACAATGTTGTGATACATTTCATGATTAGTGTAACTTGTCACCACCGGAAAACGATGTGAGTAACCTATGCAAAGATGCCCTTAAATAGTGATTCCGGATAATTGGTATGTCCTTCTTCATTCTTTGTTGCCCACAACCAATTAAGGAAAAAGTCTATTTTAAATCCTGAAAAGGTAGAGGTCCGCCAAAATGAACCCCAAAGTACAAATCCCTGTCGATTGCACCCTAATCTATTCGACCCCGGTCCAAATCGAACCTTGGGGTCGTTTGCTAAATGAGGATTGTCGACGTGGCAAGGCGTGGCCAGGATTGGTAGGCGCACAAGATAGAAATAGGCTGAGCTGGTACACTAAGGCCCGTCTGGCGGTCCTTCGAAGGCCCAGGAGGCAGAGCACCCCTACATCGACCATTCCAACAGGCACATGGCCAGCTCACCTCGAGCACTCTGTGCCCTCCTGCCTTCCACCTCTCTCACATGGCAACAATGGGGACCCACGGGTGATCGACGGTATGGCGACGATCGTGATGGCGCGGTGGCGCGAACAACTGAAGGTAATCACCTTGATGCCCTCCTCGTCTGATGCCCGTAGTTTTAGCCTGTGATTGTGTTGGGGAACGTAGCATGCAATTTCAAAAAATTTCCTACGATCACGCAAGATCTATCTAGGAGATGTATAGCAACTAGAGGGGGAGAGTGCGTCCACGTACCCTTGTAGACCGAAAGCGGAAGCGTTAGGTTAACGCGGTTGATGTAGTCGAACGTCTTCATGATCCAACCGACCCAAGTACCGAACGTACGACACCTTCGTGTTTAGCACACGTTCAGCTCGATGACGTCCCTCAAACTCTTGATCCAGTAGAGGGTCGAGGGAGAGTTCCGTCAACACGACGGCGTGGTGATGGTGATGGTGATGTAATTCGCGCAGGGCTTCGCCTAAGCACCACGACGCTATGACCGGAGGAGTAAACCGTGGAGGGGGGCACTATATTTCGGTTTCAGGCTTTCAGCATGAATACATAGTATCAGATTTTGTGTTTATATGGCTAATTGTGTGGCACTTAGTAACACGGTCAGGTTAGTAGTACCATAGCTCATAGTAACAAGGTCACTAGCTGTTACTAACATACTTACCTAGTATGTTCATGTATGTGTGTGTGTTCATGTATGATTGCCAACTGAACAAATACATCGAACATATCTGACCGCTTTGTGTTTGACTACCATACTTACCTAGTGCCATTTTCTGCTGATGCAAAACAATCTTAACCCTGCTAAGTATCGCTTTGTGTTCATGTATGATTGCCAAAGGGAAGCAACTAAACTGGATCCCACGACAAATCCAACAGGAACACACACACGGACGAGAGTGCTATGCACACTACCACCATTGGATGCTGATGCTGCTGCTACAACTCAGAATTGTACGAGACATAAGGTAGATGGATTGTTTCACAAAACAAGAGAGCAAACAAAAACCAGGATCGCAGTACCATGAGGGTCTCTCGATTGGTAGTCTTGGTAATTTTCATGTACCATTCATGCAATTCATACATTCTCGTTGAGAGCTTCTTGACCTCTGTCGTGGTCCTAAGACTGACAGTAGAAAGGGGGGTAGGTATGGAGAGGCAAGATCTCGGCTATGGTGAAGGTGTACACACGAGATTTACGAGTTCAGGCCCTTCATAGTGGAAGTAACAACCCTACGTCTCGGTGCCTGGAGGCGATCGATTGGATTATGTGTGTGATATTACAGGGGGTGCGAACCCTTGTATCAGAGGAGGGGGGTGGCTTATATAGAGTGCGCCAG